GTAGTTTGGGTCCGATCTGTTTTTGTCTGGGTTGAGACAGCATTTTGGAAGGACATTTCAAAATCAGGCTCAATAATAGTATTGTGGGCTGAGAACCCAGAAGACCATCTTACTCTGAAAAGCAAGTTTCTGTCTGCATTTATACTTTAGAGAACAGAAAAGAATAAACTTCCATTATTTTTTCCTCACACTGTAAAAATACATTATTAAAATATGGTGGATTACAGGAGCATATGGCAATACTGTTGCTTCTTACCTTAATGCTCTTCTTCTGTAGCTCAAATTACCATTCACAGGGATTCAGGTTTGCTTTCAAGGCTCACATCCCAAAGTAGCTTATTGTGTGTAACACACTGTGTAAAATGTCTTTTGCAAATGATGGAAGAGTGAGTTGCCTTCACACGGCAGTTAGCACAGACTGAAGAATACAGGTGTAGTTATAGGGTTAATGAGGAGTTTCAGTTGAAATCCTCCTTCAGTGAGCAATTTCATTGGAGTGGGCGAACTGCTTCAACTGGGCAGGACTGCTGGTTGTGCAAACAGACAAAATCCCGCTGGATGGGAATTGTCGTGTGTGTGACCGACAAGCTGCTCTGGAAAACAGCGTGCAATCGTGTAATCAGACCTGGTGCTGAAAACCTTTACTTAGGGGAACAGTTGTGAAGCCCAAGGAGAAGTGCTGTCGCAGCTCCCTCACTCGTGTTCAGCCTGGCACAGTCCAGCCTCTTTCCCGTATCAGTGTGTTCTGTGTCGCAGTGAAAATTGAACAGCTGCTGAAGAAGACTCTTTAAATATGAACGTGTACATCACTCAGAGGAATGGCTATTAATCATCTCTGACCTGCAGGTTTGAGCATAAACAGTGCATTTGATATTAATACGGTGCGAGATATGTTTATGAACACGATATTGAGTGCCTAATATTCATTGGAAATAAAAGTGTAGGAGAATTGTTTGCCTAACTTTGTCAGAGCTCTTGGTGTGCACTTGAATCCTCCTGGGCTCAATGGTCCTTTTCCCCGTGTCATGGACGTTTTGTAGATGTAACAACCCTGTCTGTTCTGCTGGTCTAGAGAATGTGCTTTATCTCACTGCAAGTTAGTTAATTTTGTTAGCATATTATATTGCCACAGAAAGCTTCAGTCTTGGTTTGTATTAACCTCTGCTCATTTAAACCACACCGGAGGCGGCTCCCTGTCGGTTGCCCGTTGGTGCAAGACCTTCACACAAACGTTACAAATGTTCCCTTCCCGTTACAAACGAGCAATGGGTCTTTCATGGCTGCAGTTTCTAATGTTTCTGAAGGGTATTTCTATTTGATGGCTCACTTTTATTAAAGCCCTGCAACTTATCCTGCTTCTACATTTTATCCGGGTGCATGTAGAAATGGAGATATTGGGAAGAAATGCCAAAAGTGCGTTAACAACATGCGGTTTCTGATGTGGGGGATACATATATTCATACTAGATGTATTCAACTACATTGTTCTTTGATCTCAATGCAGCATAAAATACTTTTGCTTGTGTTACGGGGAAGGAGCAATACTGGCCCTCCGCCTGGCGTGTATCTCCTCTTACTAAAACCACCCAGCACTGAACTGGCCTTGCAGCTCTGGTTCTGTGCTGGTCTCAGGCGTACTTTTCACGTCATACAGATGATGAGGTTTTGGGTCAAGGTGATTGTAATCTCTTACACAGAGCCTCAGCTGAGAAATATCTCAGCTATTTTAAGGAGATTTTTACAGTAAACAAATATTGTGAGGTTGATTTGTCGCATTGGATTATGAAATTTGGGAGGAATAGCTTGAAAGATTTTTACTTTTTTTTTTTTTAATTATTATTTATTCCCCAAACCTACTCCTGATTTGTCAAGCAATCTAAATCTTAACACTTCAGCTCATTACAGGTCCAGATGTAAGCAACGTTTCTCTGTCCTGCCTCTAGGTTGTTTAACTACTTTTATTTTGTAATTGTTTGATTAATAGCAAATCGCAGTAACTGCATTTCGTTTTGGGGTTTTGTTTAATGACTGAAATTTGAGAAATATGCTTGAGATACAATTCAAAATTTGCTTTGCTTTAAAACGGGAAGAAGGAGACTTTTTATGACTTAGAAAATGTGGTGATGAGCAATAATTCCAGTTTGATTTCCGCGTTGTAAATAAGGACTTGTTAGTTGGACAGTTAATATTAGGGGACAGAAAAATATTCTTCTATGAAAAAAACTGTAACTATTGCAAGCTTTGAAGTAAATTAAATGAAACAGTAAAAATAAAATAGAAACCACACTTCTAGTCAGATAGTAAACACTTCTCTGAGAATAATTTAGATGTCCCTGTATTACTTCAGTATCAAAATCATATGGGAGAGAGGTGACATTCTAGTTGCTCTGGAAGTTCCGCCTTCTTTGTGAAGGAGAGGGAAGAGTCTCTGGTTGGTTGCAATCACTGAAAGTATTCTTCCAGATATTAACTGGGTCATGTTGCCCCCCCAAAACCCCACCCTAATTTCTTTATGTTCTGTGGGCAGGGGCTTTACTTCTCGCCCGAGGCAAGGCAGGGGAGCGGGGCAGCAGCTCCCCTCCCGCAGGGCAGGGCTGCTGCCGGTGGCACCAGGCGTGCAGCGCGGGGCAGGGCAGGGGCTGGCCAGGCCCGGGGGGCCGGTCCCCCCCGGAGCCGCCTGGCAGCTCGCCCCGACGGGTAGCCACGGGCCTGCGAAGAAAGGGCCAAAATCCCCCGAACCTTGCGCTGTGCTCGTTCCCGTTACGTTTTACCGAACCCAGCAGTGCACTGGCGTTGAAAACAAGCGCCCGGCACGGACGTAAGCAGGGCTCGGCGGCTGGGGAGCCGGATCCTTGTGTTTTAGCATGGATGGGACGGCGGGGAAGGAGACGGCAGGGGAGCAGCGGCCCCAGCCCGCTGCCGGCCCCGCTCTGGGGACGGG